GAACACGGTGTACAGTCGAGTCTTAATAGCTTACTTACAACTGAGCTACACTGCCCATGAGGCTACATTCTTTAGGGCTATGCCTGTAACACTCTGCCTTCACGTCATTATGTGGGCTGCAAGTAGAGGTGACATGGGCCGTGAGATTGAGACCCAGACATTAGAGCCTCTTAAGGCGTGTTTTGTTTGGGTTTCCACCAGTGTGGAATTACCAAAAATAGAGAGGGGACAGCCAAACATATGAAACAGGAAAAGACCGCCGTGTAATCCCTTATTTCTACAAAGTAACTGTATTCTGAATACCACCTTTTTAAACAGTAACTGTAACGGAATACAGTTACTAATATTTTGTGTTTTAAATACGTAACACTGGTACATGTATTCTGTTACTCCCCAACACTGCATCCAAATAACGAATCACACAGAAAGCAACGCAGCAAACAGCATTAACAAAACTATAGACAAAAACCAGGGTAAAAATAGCCCTGATGCCTGATAAAATGTCTGTTTTCTGTGGTGCTCCATCACACTGTTGTGACGGTGTTCCTGCAATTAATGACCCTAATATCACTGAGAAGCACAGAATTCTTGCTTTATACAGATATTACAATTTTAAAAAACTGTCTGTCTGATGCCAGTGAGAGGTTAGGCTTTAGAGCAGTGTTTCCCAACCTTTAGAAGCGATGGCACATATTTCATAGCGGCATAGGCATAGCGGAATTGGCTCAGTTTGTCCCCAGTATACCATTTTTGCTTTCTTCTGGCCACTACTGGTTACTCCATGACCCAGGTCAGATTGACTACTTTTTCTTTTCAAATATTTGTCTATTGCTATTGCGCGCTGCCTTGTCGCATGACGTTAGCTGTGTCCCAAAACGTCGGCTGCATCGTTCGGAGGACCCGGCCTTCGCGGTCTACATGGGCCGGGTCCTTTGAAGACCGAGAAGGCCGGAAGTGTGAGGCTGTGAAATTGGACAGTCTAGCCTTCAGATTTGCGTCACCGCTGTGTCGGTGGAGTTTAATAAACTCTG